CATGACAGTCAGGGACACTACTGAGAACTACTCTGCAGTTGCCTCCTTGATGTCTGCAGGAACCTCTCTTCTTTCAGTTGGTAAGAAGGCATCTACCCCACAGCACTGTGAGGAGTTTCTGTTAGGAGGAGAAACACCAGCTGCCCAGGGGTGTGAGACACCATAGAAACCCTACTCCACTGATCTAACAGTAGGCAATACCACGGAAGAGACCCAGAGGTCAGAAGCTGAAAACAGACACCCACGCCCAGCTCTTCACAAACAAGAGGCTTTATTTTTATACTTACTTCCTCCAAAAAGTGGGGAGAGCATTTAAAGGGCTCATTTTGTAACATAGAGACGCTTGGTGCATTTGAAACTTAGACCCATGCCTGGCTCAGTGGAGCAAAAGAGAACTCGACTACAATCTCTGGGAAGCTCTCCCCACCCCTGAAAGACACCTCCCAGAGCTCTGCAGAAGACAGTAAGTGCAGGTCCATATTGCACAAGATATCAGTCCCTTTGTTGGCCTACGGAGAGAAAGAAGTCCTAAAAGCTTTGTGAAAGCTTCTCTCCTTTGGGGTCTGGGCCTCATTTCCCGGGCCAGGGTGATCCCTTCCCTGCCTCATCTAGATTGTCAGCTGTCTTCAGTCTCTTCAGCCAAAAACAGCTTAAATGAACTTGCAGTTGTTTCTGGATAATGTTAAGTCATTAAGAAACTCATTTGCTTTGATTAACAAGACCTTTTAGATTTATTTTGAATTCCATGTAGATTGCCAGAGCATGCCTACCTACACAGCCCTGAAAGGGCTGAAGATGGAAGAGAGGGATGTCTTCTGGTGTTCTGGTCATTTAGATCTGAGCTTTGCCAGCAAGGTCAATATTATACCCTATGTGCCACTGCAAACACATACTAAAATGTTTGGTAGGGCTGAGAAGGCACCACGGGTTCTGGCCCAAACACTGAGCCTTTGAGCACATGTGCAAAGGCAGGCTACTTCCTACACAGATACTCTTAGGGTGGATAACATGTCCAGGGCAAGACAGACTCAATCCACTATTCCCAGATTATAGTCTCTCATTTGCCCCTGATAAGATACTGAGAGAGGGAATGACAAAAGGCAAGTGTTTAGGTTACAAACCAGAAATTCTACCAGGAATGTGTCCTCATTGGTTGAAGAAACCAAGCAAAGACCTGGTATGAGAGTCCAGGAGCCACTCAGTGGATTTCCTGTCATGTCGGCCCCTGCAACCCCCAACTAAAGACAGAAAGAGAGCATTGTGGGGTTGTCTTGAAGCAAGAGAGCTGGTGGATATAATTTCTCAGGTACTAGAAGACAGCTCTGTTCGAGGGCTGTAGCAGCAGTGAAACATAAATGTTAATACAACCTGCAAGGTACCTCCAATACTGCCTCCCAGGCGTCTCCCTCCTCCTCTTTGCATAACTATCAGCTATTCAGCTCCCAGGGTAATCCTTAGAGGTTGAGAGACACTAGTCACCTGACTATCCGTGTGAACGATGCTCCCTGGGGTTATATGCAGCAAGGGCCCTGATTTCACTTACTCCCAAGCAAGCCCTTGTGACTCTCCTGACTAGTCCAAATCCCTCTAATGGCTCTGGGACCCCTCTCTGGTGTCAGAGAATAATTGATCAATATCTGTCTCCCCCAATAGACTAGAAGCTCTACAAGGGCAGAGCCATATATGCTGCTCTTCTGTTGGTTTGGTTTTTTGCTGTTACATTGCCAGTTGATGGCCCCAGTCTTGACATAGAGAAGATACTCAACCAATAAATGTTGAATGAATGGACGAATTCCCATTTTCTGACCCCCAGACTGTCCCAGGCTGGCCTCCCACCTTGAGCTCCTGCAGCTGTTAGCTCTGAAGTGCTGCTCTTCCAAAGGACCAATTACCTCTGCAGTTAGCACTTGTTCTCTGTCTTGGAACAGAGACAGTTGGTGCTGAATGACTCTGCTGCCTGAAGCTAAAAACTCCCCAAGGCCACTTCCCTGCATATGGGACGCCTGGCATCACCCAGACAAACAGGCTGTCCTACCCTCCCAGCTTCCACACAGAGACATACTTTCCTAATGTCTTTTTCCAATTTGAACTTCCTTTGATGCTCATTATAACCCAAACCCAGGAATATAAAGTTGTGGGGTAGATTAGGCTGAGGAGGGGAAGGGGTGAGGCAGGCAGGTGTGCAGGGCTCCAAGTGTCACTGCTGGTAGGCATACCACTGGAGACGCTCAACTATATCTCTGTCACCCGACTCCCTCCCCAGAGCCAATGGCCCTCAGCTAGGAATCAGGTATTTCATGAACATATTGAGAATAAAGCTAGTCTCCGTAAACTGAATTATATTTGAATTATCATCAAACATGAAAATAAATTCCCATGTGAGAAGGATTTGGTCCTGAAATATAATACAAATCACAATAATATACCAAGCTTAATCATATCCTTGGAAAGCTAGATATTTCTGATAAAATTAGTAAAAGTCGCTTCATATACAAACATTGTATCAAAACTTTAAAGGATTGCTAAATCCTTCTGGCTTTGGGTGAACCTCCTTTACCTTGAATGGCTTACCTTTGTAGGCTAAGGAAAATATTTTCTTTTAAAACTGAATGGTTTTAACTGTTTCTTCCAAAGTCTGTGAGTCTGTTATTACACAATTCAGATTCATGGAAATTAAGGGCACCAAGTTTTGTTTTGTTTTGTTTTGTTTTGTTTTGTTTAAAGATTGTGAGTTTTTCTTGGCCATAAAGATTATTTTCATGATTCGTGATTTTCCAGGTATTGACATGGCAGTTCTATTCTGTCTAATTCAACAGAACTCATCAATGAGTATTTAGAGAAGGCCTCAGGTTCTGTAGGCCACTGGGCCCAGGTAGTTCATGCCCAGCATAGATCCCAGCCTGGGGCAGACACGTTAACCTTCAACCTTGCTGCTGGGAACATCAGCAGCCAAAAATCATTATGCCCCAATAATAATGTAAGGATTTAATGGCATCATTGTCCTATTATTACTAATTTTGTATAGTTTAGCCTCCTATAATATTATTCTAACAGGAGATAGTCTTTGTTTCATTTATTTATTTATTTGTTTGTTTGTTTGTTTGTTTGTTTATGCATGCAGGCTTTAAGATACCCAGAGCCCTCAAGAGACATCAGATGGCAACCAGGTTGTTTGGAATATGCAAATTCACTTTGGGAATTGAGAGCAGACACTGGGAAATGAATCTCCAGTTGAACCTGTTTTCTCTTGCCTGGTTCCTTCCCACCCTCCACTCTCACTACTATTGGAACTCCCAAAGTCAAATCAGTAGTGATTTTTCCCCTGGTTGCTACAGTTAAGACACCAGTGCCTTCCCGTAGCAAAGAGGTTGGTGGGGGATAAACAGGTGAGAGTCCCGCTCCTGAACTGTTTTCGGGGAAATTGTAGCTGTACCAAAAAGGATTTTCTCCACCCTAACCTAATTTTTACCCATCTGAGACATTTTACCTCCCACCTGGCTTTGAATGGTATCTGTCAGGCTTCCTGGGCTGCTCTGCTGTCTCACTTCTGAAGGTCACAGCATAGAACACTTCATTGTCAGCAGCAATGACTTAAATGTTATTCCCTCGGCATCAGAATCTCTAGCGAGGGAGGGAGAATATTTCCTCATAGCGGGGAGGAGAGAAGGAGACAGAGTTCTCATCTTCCAGCTGTGTCTCTTCTAGCTGCTCAGCATCAGGGATGGACCTGAAATGTGAGCAGAAAACACAGATGTGTTACGGCCCACAGCACCACTCCCAGAAGCAATGCCACTAACTTGGCAACAGGCTGCACACAGATTTGCATTCACCTACCACCTTCCTTATAGATGCAACACAGCACAGACCATGACTGTGACAGCTGTGACAGCTGGAAAAGGGAGCCGCTCTGCCGCACACACCATACCTGTCATTTCCATCATTCAGGAAGGAAGGGTAGTCCTGGTCGTCAACAAAGGCAGCATTCTCTGGAGGGTAGATGGTGTAGTACTGAGGAGGGCTTGGTGTGGCAGCTGCCATCACTCCAGATGGTGTGAGACCACGAGGGTTCACCACTGGCTGCAGGTAGGTGGTGTTCATCCCAATTGGCTCTTGAGAGCCATAAGGGGGAGGAATATACTGCACCACAGTAGCCCCATGGAAGGTGATGGGTTGGTTGATACCAGTGAAAACAAACGATTGTCCTCCTGCCGCCTGCTCCGAGTCCAGGGCCCTTTCCTCGCTTTCTTTGCACAATTGACAGGAGAGCATTTTGAACTTGCACACAGCAATCAGGACGAATGTCACCCCAACTGACAGCAGGATGGGCCCGAGGAGCTGAGTCCACTCAAAGTGGGAGACCCCTTGGTATTTGATCCAGCCCATGACGGTGAACGTGATCCCCACCAGTCCCAGGAAGATGCCTGAGAAGAGTAAGGTGGCCCCTGCCTTGTCATCATCGGACACCTGGATGTCCGCAGTACTGGGTGTGTAAGGAGTGACCGAAAACACATTGAGAGGGAATTCCTCCAAGCGGCTGCTGCCCTGCTCCATCATCCTCACACGATCACCCGCTTCTTAGAAAGGAAAGGGACTGTGAGAGCTCCTCAGAGCAGAGCAAAGGAATCACAGGTTCAGATTAGTTATGGAAGAACTTTGGGCTTCTGTGGTTAACAGAGTAGAACAGGCAGAGGCCGGAACTTTGTTAAGAAGGATAAAGGTCTGAGAAATGAAGCCTGAAGCTTTCTTATGTCAACAACTGGACGTCTCTGCTTTGGAATTCAACGACAAGCTCTCTCTCTCATTCACATGCATTCATTCACTCATTCAAAAAGTGCTTCTTGAGCTGCCTTATGTGTTAGGACGCACTTTTCTGAACAGTTAAGGCACTGTTCCAAGGCCCTGTTTGTATCCTACCAAAACCAGGGTTGTAGAAATGGCAATGACCTCCAGGGCCTCTGGCCCTGTAGGAGACCTTGATATATTGACCACAAGCTCAGACATTTAACCCAATTTTCCTGCTGGGTCAGTTCATTAGAAATAAGTAGGCACCTATTTCTTGACTGTGTATATATTCCTTCTCACTTCCCCTGTGCCTTTTGCTTTCAGCTTTTGGGGAATAATTCCAGTTGTGGGAGAGGAAAGAAACGACAGGAAACCTTCCCATGTACCACATCACTGGCATAGGTTGAATGAGCATCAGGCATGACCTGGGGGAAACGCACTTTGCACCCTCCCTCAGAGGTGGCAACAGAGTCCCTACTCTCTGAGCTGAAGTAAACAGTTGCATTTTTCAAACCTGCTGTATTTTGCAACCAAACCCAAGCTGATTTAGAAAAGAAAGCTCCATCTTCAATGACATTATCATTCATAACTACCGAACTTCTTCAAAGCAAACTCACAAATTTCTTCCTCCACAGAATAGTAACTGTAGCCCTTTTTTCCTAGACAGATCTTTTGCAAACATATTTCTCTCTTCAGTGATTAAATATTATATCAGCTCCCTTTCAAAGCATTGAACGGAAGGAAAAGAGTTGCCTCTTGCTCTAAGTCAAGGCTTCTCAAACTTTCCTGATGATAAAAATCATGCAGGCCACTTTTTAAAAAGGCGAAATCTGAGCTAGCAACTCAGAACATCAGAACCAAAATTTCCAAAGGAAAATAAATACTCCAGATGGCTCTTGTCATCAGAAATCTTTGGAAACTCTACTCCAAGTTAATCCCACGTGCTCCTGGGAGACCAGAACATTTCTTTCTCCACCAAAATGCTTCTCCCTGCTACAGGACAAAGCCTATAATCTCTAACTTCACTCCAACCAGATGGAAAAGCAAGCAGATGACTCCTCAGTTTATTTTCTTGAGTGTGTCTTTGAGCAGCAGGGATGGTGTGTGTTGCAATCAGAGTGGTCTGCCCCATTTCATTCTATTGCTCAAGCAAGTCACTAAGCCAACCTAGGTACAAAAGGAGGGGAGTTAGATTCTTCCTCTCTGTGGGAAGAATGTCAAGGTCACTGCACAGAAGATGTGGGATAGGAGATATTATTACTGCTCTCTGGAAAACACAATCTTCCACAGAGGAATATTGACTTTTCACTGTTGAGTCTCTGATACTGCTTCAATTTTTGCCCATGTGGTCATCCAAATGCATCTCAAGATTTGAGATCAACCATGTTGCCTCCTGATTCACTGATGGTTGGGTTAGTAACCTCATTCTTATTTACTGGCAAGTTCTCGATAAGATCCATGGGGACAACACTCTGTCACAGTCATCGATAAAGTCAAGTTGCAAATTTTTCTGAGTTTTTTGTATATTTTCATTGTTTTCCAGACTTATACATTAAAATACCTGTTTTTAACCACCAATCCACATTCCTAGTTAAAAATTATAATTTTGAAATGATTATAGTTCAAAGAGATGAGTGAAAAGTGACATCACAAAAACAGTTTTCAGAGTTTATCAGAGAACTCTTGTGGGAAGTGAAACTAGCATGGTCATATGTTAACAAAACATTTCATTGAATACATTGTGATGGGAAGTAAATTGCTTTGTGGAAGCCGTGTGTGTGTGTGTGTGTGTGTGTGTGTGAGAGAGAGAGAGAGAGAGAGAGAGAGAGAGAGAGAGATCAAATGCCTTTTATAAAAAGTTTGGTGAAGCGGCAAAAATCTAGCTGCACAGACCATGATCCTGCAGTGTAATATTTTCACAGCAGTGTGGGCCATATTCACTTTGATTTGACCACAGATGAAATACCACCAGGTCTCTACTAACAGAAAAGTACCAAATATTTCAACCACTCAAAGCATATGAAAAGCGAAATAAAACAAAGCCATGAGCTTGGACAACGTGGGGAAAAAAGCAGTCTTCTGGTTTGCTTTTAAACATATGGCTTGAAACGCTTCAAGATTTCCAGAATTCAAAAAGAATTTCTCCCCAAATGTTTGGGAAGAAATGACACTGTTTGGCTTCTCCTAACCCTAGCACACTGTGGGAGAGAAGGCACAGTAGAGGATGAAGACAGAAGCAGCAGGAAGGGGAAAGGATATTCTGCTCCTCACAATAGGACCCTGTCACTGGCCATGGTCATCACACAATCGTGAGAAAATAAAGTCAGAAAAGGTCTGGAGGGTGTGATTGGGTTCTTGAGGAAACGGGTCCATGGGTTCAGTTCTGCATCTGGTTGCTGTGAGAGGAAAACAGTGTCAGAACGCCAGCTCCTGACCCTGCTTAGAAATCCAGGAGTTCCACTGGTCCTGGTGTCCCACAAAAGACAGGTACTTCCTCCATGCCATGGCTGGTCATTAAGGCTAAAGCAGCAGAAGCAGGTAGCTGTCATGGAGAGGGGTGGCTAGGGTGGAAAAGCCGTGCCCTGAACAGCTTTATGCTTTCAGAGGGCCGAGGTTGCAGAGTTGCAGGGAACATGAGCCAGGCTGCATATGCTACTCAGTCTCACCAGCGTAGGACTGTGGCGAGAGGATCCATGCACAGTAAGGGTCCTGGATGAAACGGATGTGGAACCTCAACCCTGAGAGATGAATCTGCACTTTAGTGAATGTCGGGTGTCAGTAAGTCAGTTGGAGGGGGGCGTTTAGGGGAAATCTCAGTAATAGGGACTATCCACTGCTAACCTGTTTCACTTACTTGATTTGTGTCTAACTATAGCGGCAGATAGTTATAGTCACCTTTCACAATAAAAAGACCCAGTGGTTGAACCGTAGCTATACTATGGCCATGCTGAAAACCAAAATTGTCCCCACCCATTTTACTTTGTTACAAGATTAACAAGAATATTCCGGGCGGGGCGCGGCGAGATGCCGGCATTGTTGCTGTACGGATTCTGCGTATTTATCCCACCCTCTTGTGATTAACAAGAATATTCCGGGCGGGGTGGGGGTGGGGGGGCGCGGCGAGATGCGGGCATCGTTGCTGTACGGCTTCTGCGTATTTATCCCACCCTCTTGCTTGAGCTCCCCAGTATCTCAGTGAGGGACCGTGCGTCGGTTCTAGATGACTGACTAATCTCGGAAACGGGAAAGGAGGTTATCTGACCCAGTTGCAGTGCGGAAGGACAATCTGTTTTCCTAAACTGTTTTAAAACTGCTCTTCCATGAAGGGCATGTGCTTGCTGTTGAGCGATCTGCCTGTGGTCTTGAGCCAGGCTGTGTCTGCCTGCGGAGGGCCGCTGGGGCAGGCAGTTCTCAAGGTGTTCTCTCGGACAAACTTCAGATTTTTTTTCCCCCAACTAAACTGAATGTTACCTTGACGGAGTTGGAGTTTAGGTCACAGCCACTGGCATTTTCAGCAAAAAACGAGGTGAACCTCCCAGGGACCCAGCTCGTGGTTTATCTTCTGAAAAGGGTGTGTCTGCGTTGGGCATTAACTTTTTTCCGAACTCAGGAATTTATGTATTTGTGTATTCAATTTCTATTTTGAATACAAACAGACGCTTACAACAATCCTCATCTAGTAGCTCACAGTTCTGTAGGTCAGACATCTGTCTTCTCTTGAGGCTCTAGAGAAGAATTTGTCCCTAAGCCCATTCAGGTGGCTGGCAAACTCCCTGTGCAGCTGTAGGACTGAGGGCCTGTTTCCTTGCCAGAGGTCACTTCTGTTTCTGGCAGTCACCTACTTTCCTCTCCCGTGGCCCTGTCCATCCTCAAAATGGCTACAGCACTTCAAGTCTTCCTCAAACTTCAGATCTCCTTGACTATCCATTCTGCCTTCTCCCTCTGCCTTATTCTTTTGCACAGTCTCATAAAGTTCTCTGCTTTTAAGGACTCATGTGATTAAATTATACTTATCCAGATAATCCCTTTTTTAAGTCAACTGTGCCATATAACATAACACAATCATAGGAATGATATTCTTACCGCATTCACAGGTTCCAGGGGATAAGGGGTGTGGAATCTTTTGAGGAGGCAGGGCATTTTTAGAATTCGGCCCACCACATTCTAGTTCTGTTGCAAAGAGCCAAAGAGACTTATTTAAGAATAGGTGACTGAGATAAGAATGACCCTACTGGGAATGTGTCCAGGCTTCACCAATACTGCTAAGAAGGCTTAAGTGACAGTGCTGCAGTGGGTCTTATGGGCTTTAACATATCCATTTTACTTTACTCTCATGCAGCGATTCTCACGATGAGGTCCCAGGACCAGCCTCATCAGCATCCCCTGGGATCTTGTCAGAAATGTAAATTTGGGGCCCCACCTCAGACCTACTGAATTAGACGCTCTGCGGTTAGGGTCCAGAGGGCTGCGTTTTAACCAGGTGATTCTGATGCTTGTTCAATTAAGAACTATTTCTCTAAGGCAGGTCCCCAGTTTTCTTTTCTGTGGAAATCCAAAGTGGAGAAGAGGTCAGATAGGTCATCTCTAGGGTGACTTCCACTTCCAGTCATCTATGATTCTGTGAATATTATAAAACTGATTACACAGTATAAACTAAAGAGTAAGTGTATGCACCATTGTGTGTATGTGTGTGTGTGTCAATATGTGTGTATGTGAGTTTACACACGAGTTTACACACATGTAATGATTGAGAGCTCAGGTTCTGGAGTCTTTCCTTTGATCAAATCCAATTACTAGCTGTGTAGCTGGGTCAGCT